GGGGACTGGGGGGAAATGATGTACCCGGGACAGGGGACAGGGGAGGATGATGTACCGGGTACCGGGGACAGGGGGCACTGGGGGGGACGCCGAGGGCACTGAGGGGGAACCTGTGGAGACCTTGGGTGTATTGGGGGCATCGGAGGGTGCTGGGGAGGATTCTGCGGGAATGGGGAGTSCTTGGTGTGTCCTGGAGACACGGGGAGGCACTGGAGGGGACTTTGGGCTTCCTGGGCACACGGAGCGGGGCGTCGGGGCAGCTCTGGAGCCATGAGGGGCTCTGGTGTCCCGAATGAAAAAGGGGGGCTTCGCCTCTTGCGTTAAGGGCTGACTGGGACGGGGCAGCTTCGAGTTCGGGACACTGACTCGAGTAGTGTCAGCTCCGAGGCCCCGTTAGGTTATCCCGCGGGTGTCCCGCCTCTGATGTGCATTCTCCACAGATGCCACGGTGTACGTGGGGGGCCTGGACGAGAAGGTCAGCGAGCCCCTGCTCTGGGAGCTCTTCCTGCAGGCCGGGCCCGTGGTCAACACGCACATGCCCAAGGACCGGGTCACGGGCCAGCACCAGGGTGAGAGAGCCCGAAATCCCAGCAAGGGGCAGAGCTGGGGGCAGGATCGGGGTATGGAAGAGGGGGATCATCTTCTCTACCTCGGGAGCTGTCGGGGCCCCAGGGTTTAAASTAAGTGGGGATTGAGTCAAGTTTTAAGTGGGGTTTAAATGAAATCAAGGGGGATTCAGTCAGTAATTAAATAGGGTTTTTAATCAGCCGGGATTTTAAATTAAGTGGGGTTTAGATCAAGTTGGGTGGTGTAGGGGTCACCCTTGTCCTGATGTCCTTTTGGGGTCCCCCATGAAGTCCCTTTGAGGTCTCTTGCCCATTCCCTGAACCCCCATCAGGGTTCCCCTGAGCCTTTGGGGTCCCACAGGGTACGGTTTCGTGGAGTTCCTGAGCGAGGAGGATGCCGACTACGCCATCAAGATCATGAACATGATCAAGCTCTAYGGGAAACCCATCCGTGTGAACAAGGCCTCAGCCCACAACAAGAACCTGGACGTGGGTGCCAACATCTTCATCGGCAACCTGGACCCTGAGATCGACGAGAAGTTGCTCTACGACACCTTCAGCGCCTTTGGGGTCATCCTGCAGACCCCGAAGATCATGCGGGATCCTGACACCGGCAACTCCAAGGGCTACGCCTTCATCAACTTTGCCAGCTTCGACGCGTCCGACGCGGCCATCGAGGCCATGAACGGGCAGTACCTGTGCAACCGCCCCATCACCGTGTCCTACGCCTTCAAGAAGGACTCCAAGGGCGAGCGGCACGGCTCGGCAGCGGAGCGGCTGCTGGCAGCCCAGAACCCCCTGTCCCAGGCCGACCGGCCCCACCAGCTCTTTGCGGACGCGCCGCCACCCCCGTCGGTGCCCACGCCCGTGGTGACGGCGCTGGGGCCCGGGGTCACCCCGCCAGGTGGGTGACAGAGCGGCCCGGGGGTGMCGGTGCTGTGTGCCCACGGTGCCTCTCACCATTGCCACCTCCCTTCCCGTTGTTCTGTGGGTTTGTTCTCCCCTCACACCGTTCCCGTTCCCGTTCCCGCTGTGTGCTGCAGGCCTGCCTCCCCCCGGCTCCTTCCCGCCGCCGGTGCCGCCGCCCGGAGCGCTGCCCCCCGGGATGCCCCCGGCCATGCCCCCCCCGCCGATGCCGCCGGGCGCCGGAGCCCCCGGACCCCCCTCGGGAGCCGCCCCCGCCGGGGGACACCCCCCGCACCCGCACCCCTTCCCGCCGGGAGGGATGCACCACCCAGGTACGGAGCGCGCTGGCAATGGGGCTGGGGCTGGGGCTGGGGGCGGCTTGTGCTGGGGATCGCGTGAGGGGATCCTCCTCCTTTCACCGTCATGAAACATGGGATTGCCATTGCTGATGGATCTGGGGAATTCAGGAAGTTATTGCTGTCTGGAGGCACCTGAGCAGGGAAAGGTGTTGSTTGCCTTGAGTTGGGAAGGTGTGGGAGATGAGGACATGGGAAAGAAGGCACATGGGAAGGCAGTGATAGAGAGGAGGAAGGCAGGAGCTAATTTTGGCATTAATAATTCAATGAAACCAGTTTTTTCCCTGATTTCCTACATTTTGGCCCTGTGGTTCTGGGAAAGAGCTGTGTCTGCATCTTAGCTCTGGGTTCAAAAGCACCAGTTTTGTGAAATGCACAATTTAATGATTCTCTGGGATTTGTTTGATCCTGTGGCTGCAGAGCCACCCTGATTAGGGAGCTTTGTGTGATCCTATTCTGGCCATGCCAGGAGCAGATGCTGCGAGGCCTGAGCAGAGCCAATTACACCTGGCCAGGGAAAACCGGGCTCGAGAGCTTCCCTGCGGAAGGAAAGAATTTTTTTTTTTCAATGGGATAAAATGGGATAATTTGGAAAAAGGAGGTTTGGGGTGTGCCTGGCTACTCCATTTGGAGCAGRGCAGCCTCTGGACTGCTCTGGGAGCTTGTGCAAAATCTCCAGYGATGGGTATTCTTTACTGTCCCAGRGCTGCACACACTCTCTATCACCTCTTTTCCCGCACACACTTGCTGTCCCATCTCTTTTCCCGCACACTTGCATCCAAGCCCTTTCCTCTTGCTGAGAAGCTCCGTGTTCCCTCCTCTTCATGACCGTTTTTGGCAGCAGAAGCCACTCTGCACCCATGTTTCCCAGACCCAGCTGGAATTCCAGACCCAGCTGGAATTTCAGACCCACTGGGTGCCCAGAGCTGCTTCCCTGCACCCCTAACTCCTGCATCCCCCTAGGAATGCCGCCGATGCAGGTGCACCACGGGCCGCCCGGGATGGGGCAGCACCACCCGGGACCCCCAGGCTCTGGAGGACAGCCACCCCCCCGGCCCCCTCCGGGAATGCCCCACCCCGGCCCACCCCCCATGGGGCTCCCACCCCGGGGGCCACACTTCGGATCTCCGATGGGTGAGTGGCATTTGTTTGGGGGGATCTACTCTGGGGCTGGGAGGAGGGAATGTGCAGCTGGGCGTGAAGAAAGACTGGAAGAACTTGGCATCCCCCACTCTGGGGTCTTCCTGGGGTTTCCTCATTGTGACATGGGACCCTGCAACCCTCCATCAGAGTCTTGACAGCTTTGGGATGGGTCTGCCCGTGGGGATCCTGGGAGGCATTTCCATTTCTGGGACCCCCACACGGAGGGAGTGTTTGCGAAGCTGGGGGCACCTGCTGGGTGGGAGGGTTGAGGGGTGCCCAATCTGCTGGGTGTTGCACCCCTGGGGGAATGTGGGGGCACCTGCTGGATGTGGCAC